AGACTGCAGAGGCTGAGATCAAGCGTCTGCATGATCTGCATAGCGAATTGGTTGCCAAGCAGGAGGAGGAAATCAAGAAGCTCCAAAAATCTGAAGCAGAGCTAAAGACCCGAATATCCGATTTGGAGGCGGAGGCGATGCTGTCGAATGTTACCGAGCAGAGCAAGACAGTCAACCAGTCGGGTCAGTTAAAGTCGGCCCAAGAGGAGCTGAAGAGTGTGTTGGAGAAGCTCACGGAAGCTAATCGCACCATTCGCACGCTGCGTAGCGAAAACACCGCTTTGGCTGAATCCCTCAGTGCTGTGGAAGTGAAGTACGCCAATGGGATGATACAGCATTCTGCTGATATCCAGGAACTAACTCGTTACAAGGCGGAATTCTTTAAAGCCAACGACGAGCTGAATCAACTGAAGTCTGGTCGCGAATCTCTGCAAGCGGCCTACGACGAACTCCTTCGCTCCAATGCCGAGGCTCAGAAGCTGTTAGACAAGGAGAAGGAGGAGTCAGAGCAGCGTGTCGCCGACCTGCATGCCCTGACCGCCAGTTTACATGATCAAATCGAAGCGCTGACCACCAAGCTGGCAGTTCTCTCCAATCAAAGCCAAAACCCGAACACTTCTTTAAATGACTCTGTAATGGATGCAGATCAGAGCCTGAATGCCTCTGGACAGGCCAGTGGCGAGGAGGGAAGGAACAACGAACAGCTTCTGAAGATCATCAAGTTCCTGCGCAGGGAGAAGGATCTTTTTGCTGCCAGGCTGGACATTCTCAAGGCCGAAAATGCCCGTTTGATGTCGGAACACACCATTCAACAGAAGAAGGTCGATGAACTAAATGGCTATTTGAACCAAGAGCGCGCCAAGAGCCAAACGGACGTGGTGTCGGCCAACAAGCACGAGGAGGTGCTGCGCAAGATCGAGACCCTTAACGCCATTACTGACAGCAATCGCATCCTGCGGGAGGAGCGCAATGCTTTGACTCTTCGCGTCGCCGAACTTAACGAGCGCATCAGCAGTGTGGAGAAGGAACTGTTCCCGCTCCAATGCAGCAACAAGGAGCTGACTTCGAAGATCGAGGAGATTAATGTGGAGAACACCTCGTTGCGTACCGAGGCCATCAAGTGGCGGCAGCGTGCCAATGCTCTCGTGGAGAAGAGCAACCGCAATCCGGAGGAGTTCAAGCGTCTGCAATCTGAGCGCGAGCACCTGGCTAAGTTGCTTACAGCCGAGAAAGAGCTGAACAAGAAGCAAGTAGATGAGCTAAACTTGCTGAAGCAGCGCATGGACACAGAGATCCCGTCGCTCAACAGACACCTGCAACAACTGGACGAAGCTCGCAAAAAGCAGGGCGACGAATTCACCAACCTAAAGCAAAACAACACTCGGCAGACGCAGGACATTATGGAGCTGAAGAACCGTCTGCTGCAAAAGGAGGAAGAGCTGCTGAAGGCCAACGAGGAGTTGGAGACGAAGGACAAGACCATAGCGGACAAGGACACAAAGGAGCTGCAGCTTCGCAAACTGGCCAAGCGCTACAAGGACTACTATATGGGTCTTCAAGCCCAAGGTGGAGGAGCCGAGTCAGTCGCGGAATTGGAGAAGGTTCGCAGCGAGTTGGAAGAGGTCAATAACCAACTACGAACATTGAAAGAAGAGCATGAAAAGGTAATCAAAGAATGCGAGGAGCTGAAGAAACGCACAGAGCCAGAAACTGATGCCAGTGCCGTGCGTCAGGAATATAAGGCCAAGTTGGACAAACTTGTTGTGGACCTTACCGTGGCTCGTACTGATTTGGCCAACCAGGAAACAACCTTTGCCGGGACCAAGTCCTCCTACGACGAGACAATCGCTCGTCTGGAGAAGGAACTGCAGGAGCACATAGCCGCCAACAAGGATGTAAATCAGCGACTCACCCGTGAGAACGAATCGCTGCACATGAGAATTAACCAGCTCACCCGTCAGCTGGGATCGCAGCAGTCCACCAAACCGTCGACCAGCTCCGTGGCCGAAAAGGGCAACATCTCGGAGAGCTCTCCCCGCACTGCCAACGTTAAACCCATGTCAGGATCAGCCACAGTGCAACAATCGGCCACCGTGACCCCCTGGCGTGGAGGCGAGACTCCTTTGGCCAGCATCCGACCCATTTCGGTGCAAAACAGCCGCACGGCCGCCATTTTGCCTACCAGCCAACAGCCCCCGGCGGGATCTAGTACGTCCACCTCTTCGTCATCCTCGTCTTCATCGACTTCCACCACATCAGCCTCGGCCAGCGGAGGCAGTTCGGCGGTGGCCCAAACCGCTTTAGTGCCACCACAGCAACAGGTGCACACCACTGGAAGCGCGGCTCTGGAATCGATGGCGTCCTCCTCGCCCACGTCCTCACATACCGACTACATGCCATCGACCAGCTCTGCGTCTGTGGCCGTGGCTGCTATTCCACCAATGGGCGCCTCATCCGCGGCAGAAAGTTCCCAGGAGGCGGAGAGCATCCAACATCCACAGCAGAACGATTCGCAGCTGTTCGTGGGCGGTGCCCAGCAGCAAGTGGTGGCCCTTGTGTCACCGCGCGTGGAAGGATCCTCTTCATCGAGTTCCACGTCTGCTCCGAATGCCACAGCTCCCAGTGTCCAAGATGGCGGGAATCAGAGTCAGCAGCCCAGCACTTCGGGCAGCAGCAGCAGCTCATCCACGGTGGTGAGTAGCCACAGCAGGCACACTCCGTCCAGCAGCAATGTGACGACCACCCAGGCCGGCTGCTCATCCCAAGGCATTAAGCGTCCACGGGATGTGGAGGGTGACTCCTCCACGACCAACGAGGAGGGCCTGCCCGAGAAAATGCCAAAGATGACGAAAAGACTTCGCGGTCCCACGCACAGTGGAGAACTGTCCGCCGGACACATTGGCGATTCCGGAATGGATGTCGATCAGATGCCAACCTCCTCGCAGCGCGATCAGGAGGATGACATTCAAGTGGTTGACTCGGACGACGAGGAGGACGTTCTGGCTGATGCCGACGATGGTCCCATTGATGGAGGCGAGGCCGAGCAGGAGGGCTATGAGGATTCCTATGAGCAGGATAACGAGATGGACGACAACGAGGGTGCCGACGATGACAATGACATTGCTGTGGATGCCCAGGATAACAATGAGGTGGACATCGAAGAGGTGCCGGAGCAGCATATGCAGGCGCAGGAGGAGAGCCAATCGCTGGACAGCCAGGCAGTCGCGACCGCATCCGCGTCTGCCCAGGAGAACAACCAGAGCCAGGCCATAACAAGTGGCAGTGGAGAGTCTTCGAATCCGGTGACCCTGCCGCTGGCTGAGGCCTCCAACTGGAAGCAGGCGGCTGCCTCAACGTCCACAGCAGCTGCGCGACGCAACGAAAGGTGGGTAGAGAATTTGTAATTGATGAGCGAAACTAATGTAATACATCCGAACAGCTCTGTGGAGATTGTCAGCTCACCCCAAGTGTCGAACTTCAGTGAGCAACCAGCCCGCTTGGAGACCGCCGAAGTCGATGGCACCGCCGAAGTGGCCGAGGGTGGTCCACGTGAAAGCGCTGGGCCCAGCGATGAGGGAGCTGCCACCGCCAGTTCCCCACAAAAGCAGGGCGAGGCAGGAGAGAGCAGTGGAAGCGACGCCAACAAAGCTGCTGACGAGGGTGATCACGCTGGAGGAGCAGAAAACGCCAGCGAGGCGGATGAGGCTTTCGCCGAGGAGACAATGGCTTCGGGCCAAGGAGAAGACTCTCAGCCACTGGGAAATGATAGTAAGTTGGAAAAGAAACACGTCTAATGAGCGAACAACTAACCAGAGCACCCATGCAGATCCTAATGTGGGCACCAGTCAGTCGGAGGTGTCACATAACCAGGCCAATCTTGACGAGGGCAACCCCACCGAGGACAGCGAGGGCGCCGACGGCGTCTCCTCCGAGGGTGAGAAGCAGGCGGTGGGTGTTGAGGTAAGGACTCGTTCTTGTCAAGAATAGCAATTTTCTGGTGGCTAGATACCGGTGGAGGAAAGCAGGTTGGTCCGAATGAGACCCAGCATGGTAAAGAATGCCGTTCCCAGATTATGGTTCAAGTTATTTTGGTTCAAAACTGACTACAACTTTTGATTAAAAACACAGCCCATTGACTGATTTTTCTTTGTAAAATATACATTTACTAATTAATAACATTTGATTTGCATTTATGAAAGTCAATTTACTTGTTTTACACAAGGTAAACTGCAAGGTACTGCAATTATTTGTATATATCTTGTTCCTAACATTATAAATCTAAAATCAGAAATCAATCTCTAGTAAGATTTAAGACCTAGACCTTAGTCTGCTTCGACTAAATAATAACTCGATCGCTTTTCCTGTATTTCAAGGAGGAGGGTCGCGAGGCGGAGGCAACCTCGCCGTCGGAGAACACGCGTTTTCGCACGCTACGCAGCGCGGTGCCCACGCGACGCGGAGGACGCGCCATGATGCGCGGAGGCAGCCCCAACAACCAAAACCGACCACAGCGCATCGTCTGGCAGCGCGAAACGTCGCCGGGAAACATGCAGCGGGACCAGATGCCGCCAGCCAATAATCGTTTTGCCCAACGGGCTCGCAGCCGCCGTCCTATCCGTCGTCCGTCCCCCAACAACTTCAACAGCGGCGGTCGATTCCCCTAGGGCGAGGATATCGGCGGACCCGCAGACGAAAGTCCGCTGTAGGCTGACTATAATCATTGCGTTTACTGGGCTAGAAATAAGTCTCCTCGCATTTAATTATTATTAGTCTAAGTCGACCCACAGCTAAGTTTATTACTCAACATTCTCCCGTTTTGCAAGTCTTGATATTCTGCAGTTGTCAAGAAGCAACGAACTTCGGTTCTTGTACATTCATTTAGCTATAGACTTCTGAATAAACATATATGTAATGGTCACCATTCAGTTCAACTATCATGGGAAAGGGGGCTAGTATTACAAACTTGCATTTCGTGACTAACAGAATATGATGGTATAATTTGTGTATTTCTTAAAAGCTTAGATTTTGTAAGTATTTCTTCTAAAATATTTATTTTAAAATATTTTTTTCATTAAAGCTTTGATTTGATTGATTTTTGTACAAAGAATGATCACGAAAGGAGCATAATTATTAATTCCATCAGTTAGATAAAGAAATCCGGCTCTAATTTCAAATGTACTAGTTCTAGCCTAAATGTAGGCCATCGTCTGATAATCTTGCACTGCAATTTGATGGCAATGACCTTAATTGGATTGAGCCACACAAAACACATTAATAATGCAGACCACAGTGGAACCTGGTACGTGATCAGAATTGACGCCTTAAACATAATTAGCTGCTGTTGTAAGTCAGTTGGCCAGGCGGGAAACATCTGAGACTGCTTTAAAAATCCCACTGAACCAAAAATGATATATTCTGAAAATTGCTGTTGCTGCATAGAGCTGAAGTGCGGCTGCATCCTAATAGCCATCGTAGAGGTGCTCATCCGCGGGTTGGATCGATTCTTTGTGGATCGTAAGTGGGTTTGCCCCTATTAATAGAAAATGCAAATAACTTTTCGTAAGGCGACAGCATCCTGGGATTTTTGTCCCTCGTGGTGAGCGGTATCTACGTAATCTGTTGCATATTCCTTCTTCTCGGAGCCGTGCTGGTGAGCTTCTGTATTGTCCTTTATAAGAAAAGTATAACATTTTACCATTTTAGAGCGTAAGGTACTTTCTGTTGCCCTACCTCTCGGTTTCCTGCCTCCGTTTTTTCATTTTGGTTGCCGAGGGCGTGTTTGTGGCCACTGAAGGCTTTGTCAATGAATATCTTGTCTTCGATGTTCTCCAATCTCGTAAGACACATTCTATTTTTACATACAGCTTGCTTTCCTAACTCCGTTTTCAGTTCTTGGTCTGTACTTTTGGCTGGTGGTCTTCTCCTACTACGATCTGTTGAAGGACACCTGAGTTTATATATTGCTTTTTTTATTTTGTAAAAAACACTAATGGAACTGAGTTATGGTACTGAAATGACAAAGCATAAGCTATTGCATAAACTATGTATAAATAACTCAAAACTATTAACAGACTAAAAGTAATCATGGGTGCTTTGCGATCTATACTCGAACCACCATCAAAATAATATTTTGTAATGCTAGAATGTATGGAATTTAAAAGATTTAATTATGAAAGTAGACATTTTGGTGTTTAATGTATTGTTTTAAAAGTCGACAAATATATTTTTTTTAATGATACTAAATATATTTACTTTCTGTATGCATTATAGACAAAACAAAAAATGTGAAACTTTATTTTTATGGAAATTGGAATGTTTAATATACAAATTATACAGTTATGAAAATACAATAAATATTCCCTACGAACACGATTGTACTTAAAATTTCTTAAGTGTTTTTTTAAGCACAAATACACATCATTACTTTCATTTTTTTTTTTTCAATTATCGGTACCCGATCTCTTCTGTGGGTACAACGTGCGTTTATCATAAAAGTAAAAACTCATTTGTATTCAATAAGTGCTCTCTGATAAATAAAACAAATATTGAGTGCTGAGCTCATTTTGTACAGAGTTAAGTATCCCCGTCATTTTGCGAAGATGCATTGATTGATGTTCATATACTGAGATATAAGGATCGGCAACGAACCTTACCATGACAATTACTTATAATACTGAAATACTCCAAGACCTTCACTGAATAAGTAATAACATATAGAAATTCCCCAAAGAATTCAAGATCCGGTTGATTTCGCATTCTCTAAACTCTCTTTAATGGCAGCGATCATAAATAATATTTACATTCATGGGCTGGGGACCTAGGCGACACTACAAACTAGAACTGCTCGACGGTGCGGGGGGCAGGTGGTGCTCCGTACTCCTCCGAGGGGGCGGCGGGCGGTGGGCCGTACTGGGTGGCCGGTTTGGCCTGCTGCTGCTTGTACTTGATGAAGTACACCTCCGGCTTGCTGGGCTCCGTGGGCTCGGGAGCGGGTAGGATGAGGGGCTGCTGCTCCTCGGGCTTCTTCACCAGCACGTAGACCAGGGTCTTGTGCTCATCCTGCACCGGGGGTGGGAGCACCTGGCGCACTGGAGTCGGTGGGTTGGGCGCCTTGATGAAGATGATCTTGTAGTGCTTCTTGGGCACGGCCGTTTGGATGGGCGATGAGGCCGGGTAGAATTCCGGCTCCTCTGGCGGCACATGGACGTACACGTTCTTGGTCACGAGCGCCTCCGAGGCGGCTGGTGGTCCGTAGAAGGCGGCCGGTGGTCCGTAAACGGGTAAGGGTTGGGCAGCCGGAGCCGGAGGACCGTATTCCTTTTGGGGAGCTGGCGGCGGTGGTGGTCCATAGCGGGATCTTGGTGGTTCCGGACGGGCCAAGCAAAGGGCCAAACTGGTGGCCAAGAGGAGGAGGATACACTGCGACTGCATGCTGATCTTGCTGATGGTTCAACTGCGAATGAAGCTACTGCTGCAGGTCAATCGAGCATTTTATATGAATCCACCGCCCCAGACATTTGTATAACCCCCGCCTTTGCATAATATTTCCGATGGCTTCCCAATCGCGTTACGCGGAGCTCTTCAATCCCCGCCTGCAATCCGCGATGCATACAAATGAGCCAACGCATTGTGCCCATTTCGGTTTCGTTTTCGATACACAGTTGACTTGGATTCCGTTTCCGATTCGGATTCGAACTCGGTGATTCGGATTCGGGTGATGAAAACGAAACCAAAGAGGGCACAGGCATACAGATCGAAGGGAGGGGCCCGTCGTCGTCACGTTCTGTTTTTTGGGTCTTCCCGGCCCCTTTTCGGCCAATATTTGCCAAAAACCTACGCCTTAATGGTCGATTGCGATGTTCACTTGTAATTTATTATATAACACGATTGACACGATCGCACATTCCGCTGGTAGGCCAGGGACGGTCATTGCGATCGACGATCTACACTTAAAAATGTATAGTGCGCCTGCTTCACCAAGGGGTTACTAACCCATAAACAAGAAGAACCCATCTGCAAAAGACATTTAAAATATTTTATTATTCAAAGATTATCATTAAGATAAAGATTGCCTTTACTTAGACAAATTGTTTAACTAAGACGGCTTGCATTTATTTAAAATTTGTGTTATATATTATACTCCTTATCTTTTTCATTTTTGAATGAGGTGAGATATTCACAAGGCTAGAATTGGGATAACCTACTTGTTCAACGAGTAATTTTTAAGAAACTTTGAGACCACGAATGTGCCTGTCTTGAAATAAAATTAATTTACTTTCGATTAGATTTATTGCACACCAAAATCAACCAAATGAACATCCCTAAAGTTCAACAGTTTATACCGTTGGTTTTAACGACTTGATTGTAATACCCGCAACTTATAATGGAAAAGAGTATTGTAACAGGTAGAAGCAAGTGATCATGACCATCACTTGAGCACCTGTATTAATAGAAGGCGGAACTTTTCAAGTGGTGATTTGTACGATAAAATACCATGTTTTTAACCAATTTTCATAACTACTACTGTAAAATTCAAATTTATATAGATAATTAATTGAATTACCCTTGTAATCCCAAGAATGCAATGATGGTGGAATATCCGGAGTCGAAAAATATTTTGTGTGTCCGTTACTTCGGACAACTTTAAAAATAACTTTTAAACTTTAAAGCGAAGCTTTTTTCTGAGAGCCTATGGTTCTCTGACAACTGCTCCGCCTTTTCAATCAGTTTTCAGGGACTTACACATCGATCAAAATTGTAAAATGATTCAGAGATGCTGTTGGTTCATAAAATTGCGCAAGGCCTGCATCCTAATTGCCGTGATAGACTTTATCATCAACCTGGTGATACTCAACTTGTCCGGTCGTAAGTGTCGGATTGTGATCCATTATTTTAATCTCCCCTGGTAATGCACCTCTATCCCCCAAAATTCAGAGGAGTTTATCGCACATATCGAACAGGCGGTGGCCATCTGCCACTGCATCGGCTGCACTTTCCTACTGGGTGGAGCGCTAATCGTAAGTCCAGCCACTGGATGGTATCCCCAGTACCAGGAGCTGATCCCATACCAAAAAAAACACTTTAGAGATCGACCATCCTGCTGATGTTTTTCCTTATAACCAGCCTGACCAACTGCATCATCATGATCGTGTACTGCTGTGTTCTGCTGGTTAGACAAGAGCGATACCATGAGATAATAGTTCCCATCTCGGCTTTATATATTTGTAAGTGGATATACATTGGATCACATCTTTCTCAAAAAACCACTTTCAGGCTGTGATGTCTACTTCTGGATAATCGTCTACTCGTTTTATGTTCAAGTAAGAACTCCCGAGCAAGTAATAGAAGTTTGATTACGTAAATTAAAAGTATGAGATGGTCTTCTTGTCTGGATTGAGTTATCCGTTTATCCAAGGGCCCAAACTCTCAATACTTTTTGAGTTCACTGCAAAACTCTCGATCCTGTATTCGGTAAACTCAAATAATATTGTGGTTTCCTTGGGTAATTCAGATTTTCAAGTCGACTCGTCACTATAAAAGGAAAATGTTGTTTTATTACTCAATTGTCGGTTAAAATTACCTTGTTTATAGGCTAATAGATCAGAAATTGGTGATGACGCCGTTTTTATCAGTACCCCGCAGTTCCAAATGTCTCCGCGTGATTCATCAACATCGTCGATATCAATTACAGATTACTGTTACTATAGGGTGATAATAATCCAAGTAGTGTATGTGTATATACAATTTTTTAATGTAAAAAATATTCTATGTAACAGTTTTAATTAGGTCAGCGTATTAAAGTGCCTCTTGAGGAAAAAATCAAAATTGGTACATTTTCAATTTGTACAATTTATTATTTACATATAGTATTTAGAAGTAGGCCATATATAGGCTTTAGTATTAATTCTATAAAGAAAAATTATTATATATTATCTTCGCGATAAGTCATTTGATTCTGACTATATATTTAATAGCGTCCGATGTTGGAAAGTGAGTTATTCGCTGTTGACCAACTCGAACCATTGCCTCATGGCTTCACTGAGCACCAGCGGCAGTTGGTTGAGGTCCCGAACTATCACATAGTAGGGGAATGGGAAACTGTCCAGGTAGGAACTAATGTTCACAGATCCATCGGCGTTCACCGCCACATGCTGTACGTCCATAATTGAGTTCTGAAAGTAATTAGAAATTAGTACAGAGTTCATTGAAATTTTTAACAAGACCACTACCTTATTGTCCGGGTTGTCAATGATAATGTAAACCAAGAAGATGCGCTGTAACCGCGCCAGCTTGATGGCGTTCCTGACCTTCTGTGCACCCTCGCTGAATATATTGCGTCCATCGCTGAGAATGAGCAACAGGTTCTCGAACAGACCATTGTCGCCGCCCAAGCCGCTCTCCTCCGCATTGGCAGTGCGTATAAAGTCCAACAGGCCGGCTATTTTGGTCTTGTCTTGTGCGAAATTCAGGGCATTAACTAAGCGCGGCCCATCGAACTGCTCTGTGTGATTCAAAACGATCTGTGGCGCCTCTCCGAAGGATACAATGCTCAGGCGGCCGCTCTCCAGCAGCGTCAGCGCCTGCGACACCAGCGAGATGGCCTCCAAAGTCAGCGTCTTGGAGTTGTTGTGGTGCATCGACTTGGAGTCGTCTATGGCAATGGTGATCTTGTAGTCCCGCTGCGCTGGCTTTGTGCGTCGCAGCCAGATCTTGTCCTTGCGGAACTGCGATGCGATGTAGGGAATAATTTTCTTCATGTTAATGCGACGTCCAGTGCGATAGTCGCCCTTTAGCCGTGTACACTTGGTGGGCTCCAGGATTAAGCGCAACTGTTCACAGAGCTCGCGAGCATTCTGAGTCATTCGATTGGATATCCCCTGCCAGCTCTCGTAATCCTCGTGCTGCGGCTGTGCCTGGAGTAAAAAATAACTTAGGTTATGGGCTTTTTTTTAACAAAGCTTTGGACTTACTCCTCGGAATGTGGTCAACTGCTGTTGATACTGTTGCCTGAGCTCAATCTGTTCCGCTGAGCTCAGCTCCTCCGCATGCGTGCTCTTGTCCAGAAGGATTTCGACGCTGTTGAAACGAAGATTTAAATAAATAAGTCCCGGAGAAAACGAGATAATACTCACTTGCTGTGCGCCGTAGTCTCCGAACTGCGAGGAACCGTCATGGTGGGCACCACCTCGCCTTCAATCTCCATACTCTCAGGGTTTTCCAAGCGCTCCTTAGACTTTTCCGTTTTGGAGGGCTTGTCCGACTTTTGCTCCGTCTTTTCGGCACCCAGCTGCTCGAGTTCAGTATCATCCTCAGGATCGGCGACTGGCTCGTCGGTTTCCATCAACTCATCAACGTTCTCGGTCTCTGCTTCATCTTCCTTTGGCGGCTCATCCTCCTGGTGCTGGATCTTTTTCGATTGCTCTTCGGTGGCATTGTCCAGTGTAGTTTTATCGCTGTTCTTCGGTTCCTTCACATGCTGGTACTCCTCAGCCTCCGCCTCCTCTGGGGGTTCCGGTTTCTCCTGGTCCGCTTCATCCGATTCCTTTGATTCCTTCAGTTGGTCGATTGTTTTGAGTTGCTTCAACTTGTTCTGCTCGGCTTCACCTGCGATTAGTTTTATGATTAAGTTGTTGAATGGAAAATGGTAATGGCCTGCTTACCTAGGGATCGCTCTTCGTTGGTTTGTCCCTGCTTGCGCTTCTCCTGCGTTTGCCTCTCGTTTTTGCGATCCTCCTGGGACACCGTTTCCTGAGTTTCCGCAATGCCTTGATGGCCGCCATCGTTGGTCTGTTAAATTTAGGTTTAATTAAGTAAGAGATGAATAAAATGCAATGGAGACTAAAACTCACATCGTTCTCGGCCTGGCCGACTCCATCCTTCTCCTCGCCCGTCTCCTGCTCATCAAGCTTCTGGTCTTGCTTAATATCCGGGTCCTGCGGTTGCTGCACTTGGTCCGCTGAACTACTCTGGTCGGTCTCTGGCATAGACTGGACATTTTCCTCTTTGCTAGCCTGGTCCTTAGACTGTGAGTGCTCCTCCGGCTTCTCCTCGCGCTTCTCCTCCTCTTTAGATTCCTCAGGGGTATCCTCCGGCTTTTGTTCATCCTCGTCTTCGAGTTCACCGCGTGTCTGTGTTTCCGGCTCTTCTTTTTCATCTTCGGGAGAGGCATCTTCACCGTCGGCCTGGTCTTCTGGACCAGCCTTCGCTTCTGTACCCGCCTCATCTTCTTCGGAGTCGCTTCCGTCGCTTTGAGGACCGCCCTCCTCCTCTGCAGCGGGCTCCTCCTCAGCGTCTGCCTCGGGTTCCTCAGCCGGCTGCATGTTCTCCTTCATGGCATCAATGTCAAAGGGATTCTCGTCTGTGGGCTGCTCCTCCTGATCGTCGTGACCCTCATCCACATTATTCATATCACCGAGGTCCATTTCCTCGGGCTCTGGCGGCTCCTCCAGCTCGTTGTGCATTGCATTAGTCTGCTCCTCATCCATTTCGGGATCCTTCATGTCGTCAATGTCCTTAGCCTGCTCCTTGCGTTTGTCCTCGCCGCTGGGCTCGTTGGTGGCATCCAAGCCGTCCTTTTCGTGCTCATCCTTACCATCCTCCTTGGCCGCATCGTTCTTTGTGTCCAAGTCGTTGTGCGCATCTTTCTCGTCCTTGCTGCCCTTGCCCTGATCCTCCTCGTTCATCTCGGGTTCCTCTTCCTCCTCGGGCTTTTCTTCCTCGTCATCGCCCCAGATCTGGTCGTCCAGCTTTTCAGCTCCCTCCTCTGTTTCGCCCATCTCCTTGTTCAGATCCTCCTCTTCTTCAGACTCCCCGCTGTCATCCTCCTCGGGCTTCTCCACATCCTGCATCTTGGCATCAAAGTCGTCACTCATCTCAATGCCTTTCTCCTCCTTGCAATCTGGCTCCTGCTTGTCGCCCTCGTCCTTGCGATCCTCCGGACGCTTCGCATCGTCCAGTTGATCCTCGGACTCGATTTTATCAGAGGCGTCGTTCTCCCCAGTGCCATCCTCTAGACCGAAGCCCTCTCCATTCTTAGAGTCCTGCTTAGACTGTCCCTCCTCATCTTGCATTAGATCCGGAGGCACACAGAAGCCCTTGCTGCCGATCTCCACGAACACGGTCAGCACTATGGACATCATCTTGGCAGAAACCTTGTGGGTGGCCAGCTGCTGGAGCAGCAAATAGTCTGCCAGTAGTTGGTACTGCTCCAAAATGGGCAGCAGACCTATCGCTCGTCTTACGCATAGTAGCTTATCCTGATTTTCGGCATTGGAGTGCTTTAGTACCAGGAGTACATTGGAGAGTTTACCGAGCACGCGGGGCAGGCTTAGCTGTTGCCAGTCCGAGGACAGTTCTCCAGTGAGGCACTTCTTCAGATGCTGCTCTTGAAGCGCCTCCTTCGACTCCTGATCCTGCTCCTTTGTCTCGCCATTTTCTGGTACTTTTTCGGGCTTTGCGTGGTGCTTGTAAATATTCTGCAGCGAGATTAACACACTGTGCGCAATGTTGGCCAACTCTGTGTCCGCATTGGCCAGATCTATGGACTCTGAGGTAATCTCTGTGGTCTCTTCCTTTTTCAGGCTAGTCAAGAGCTCAACGAGTGGTTGCGCCAACGGCAAATGATCATTTTGTCCCACTCGGAGAATCGCCAAGGTCTTCTCTATGATCTGAAGGATTTGCTGATAGCTCTTCTGGTAATAGTCACACTTCTCGCTAGATAGGAACTCCAGATTGGCGGTGTTCAGTTCGTTTAGCAATTTTTGGCTGCTGCTCAGGATCTGTCTACTTAAATCCTGGAGTTCGACTTGAGGCAAAGGAACGGTCCTTACCAATAAACTGCTGCCGGAGTTTTCGTTAAATGTGCTCGGAGCACAACTTAGGAGCAGCTTCCACTGCTTCAGAACGTAGTGAATCTGGCAAAGATTACGTTTAATTTCCGTTGCTATATCTGCACTCCTCACGAAGCTTAGGGTCGCCGGGTTATTCTCGGCCTCCGGAACAATCTCGGCCAGTTTACGTAAGCTGTCAAGCGAATTCCTCAGCTCATGCAGCTCTTTGGTGGAGCCGGAAAGCTGCTCCCGCTGCTGCTGCACCAAAAGGAACAGGTCCACAGCAAAGCCCTTGATGCGTTCAATATTGGGAGGGCCCAGCTCCGAAAGGGGAGTCAACATAATGTTTTGCAGAAGCTTCAACTTGAACACACTCTTCATGTAGTACAAGTCCAGGTGCTCATCCAACTGCTGGGCACTGGGATGGAGCCGGGGCAACATTGAGCGAATGGAGTAAGGAGGCAGCTGGAAGTCCTCGAACTCGTTTCGCAGAGAGAGCTCCAAAAGTCCACTCTTATAGCTGGCACCCAGTCTATGGAGCATCTTGAAGAGATCCGTGAGAGCCTTGCGCTTTTGCTGGAGGATCTGCTTGGCCTCCTGCTTCTGTTGGGGTCTCTCCTTCGACCGATCAACGTTCAGGGAACGCAAGTGCTCACAGCGCTCCAGCTGGCTGGCCAGCAAGTCATCCAAATCCGTGATTAACTCGCCGTAGGGGACCTGACCCAAGGTTTCCT